GGACCCTACCCTCCTTCTTTGCAGACACCAAACTGGAAAACTGAAACAACAAACACTATTAACCACAAAGTTGGATGGACATGTTCAGCAGAGCTTCACTGTTTGATGGCCGAAATGAGCTCTGAGGAAAACATCTTAATAGTTCTTTTTAAAAGACAAACTGGCCCAAATGACAGAGGATATGTTAGTTAATTAAATGGGGAGGGGGGATTAATGTTGAGGCTGCAAACAGGTGAGTGTTTTCTAGCACGGAAGTTTGTGTCCACATATAAAGGTATCTCTAATAGAGTCCTAGCAGGAATTACCCAGAGGGTAAAGCAGACAAATGTGCTCCAAGTAAGAACCATGTGAACATGCAACATGGTCCCCAATGCCATTACCGTTGCTGTTTCTTTTTGAGGCAGAGACTCAGGTAGTCCAGGATAACCTCAACCTCCCTCTGTTCTCCTGCCTCTCCCACCAGAGTGCTGGGATTACAGTCATGTGCTATCACATCAAGTGTATCCAGTGCTGGAGAGCAATCCAAGGGCTTCGCACATGCTAGGCAAGCCCACAACTGAGCCACATCTCCATCTCTGGCCCTTCTCTGTCACTTTTAAAGAATAAGTTACTTCCAGAATAGGAACATTTTACTAAACCTTTTAAAGCACTAAATCCTTAGGCGGGCTGTCAGGGAGAAATCCTTATTTATTTCCCAATAAAACACATTTTCTAATGTCCCTCAGTTTTTTATTTTAACGTAGGACATTAACTACTCATTTTTCAACTGAGCTTACATGTTGAGGATTGTCAGTCAAAATTTCTTCAGAACAGCACAATCTCAAAGTTGTTTGGTATTTTGTCTCAGGTTCAGGTGAACAGCAAAAAGCTTACTGCTGAGCTCCAAGGCAGAGGGAAAACTGAGCCCATGAACATGCCTGACTGCATGAAGAGACACAGCCTGTGAACACATCGCCCAAAGAAAGGAGCTGCACATAATGAGATTCATTCCATCAAAATGCCTACTTTATCTAAAGTGTAAAAATAATAAAAAGAATTGCCTGGAAATACTGCTCATATCTGGCCATTAAATGTGCTTAGCTTTGACTTCTGTCTCATAACCACAGAACACTATGGCAATTTTCTATAACAACATGCATCCCAGATGAGTTGCTGCTGAATTCAAACATATATTCCTGGTGCTATAATGACAGAAATAGAAATGAAGTCTGCTCGCTGAGAAACACTGATCATAACTGGGAAAATACATAGCTGTAGATATATATGTATCATCATTATATGTCTATGAGAATTAATCAGGGCTGGAAAGATGGTTCAGCTGATAAAGTGTTTGCTGTGTGGCCATGAGGACTTGAGTCTGGATCCCTAGAACTTGTGTAAAGACATGGCAGCTTGTGCCTGTAGGAGCAGAAACAGAAAGATGGCTAGAGCCCGTTGGCCAGCCACTCTTGCCAAATTCCTAAGTTCCAATACTGTCTCAAAAAACAAGGTGGAGAGCAGCTGAGGAAGGTAACCAATGTTCTCTTTTGTCCTCAATATACACTGAAACACATATGCATACATGTATCCATGTATACATGTATAAATACATATAGGACACACCGCATGAAAAGAAAAGTACACGGGCAAGGCAGGAGTGGTCAGTCTTATAGAGACCTACAGAAAAATATTGCAGGGACTGTTAAAAATACAAGTGAGAGAAAAACATGAAGCAACTGCAGAAACAATCTGACTCTCATCACACACATTCCTGTAATTTCTCTGAACATAATTAGCAACGCATACGTTCAGTTGAGGGACTCAGCAGAGAATTTTGTTTACAAAATTATTAACTGGATGAGAAATGTGGTGGGATTGGATAAAAAAAAAAGTTCATTCCCCTTCAGGTTTACAACTACTGGAGCTCATGAATAGGGCACCTCATTTGGAAGCAAGATCTTTGCAAATGTACTTACAATGAGTTGTTCTGGCTTAGCACAAGTGCTAGTCGAATGGCCAGTGTCATTATTAGTACTGGGAAATGTGGACGATGAAGTCATGAACATGGGAAGATAAGAGGGAAGAATGGACTTATGTCACTACAAACCAAAAGATTTCAGATTTGACAGGTGGCCCCAAAAGTTATACAGATTGCCAATCACATTTCTCTTCAGGTGAATTCCGAACCTGTTCACAGCCTGACTTAAATTATAACCAACAAAAGTATGAGAAAGTAAACTCACTACTGTCTATAAGTTGCTTAGTCTATGGCAATTTGTTACAGTAGGCGTGGGAAACAAACTTTTCTTAGACATAAAGTTAAATAAGGATTCATCCAAATAAAATTATCTGGTTCTTCTCTCTTCCATCACCTACTTTAACAACGCAAATACTGAGCACAGCCAACTCTTATTTATGAAGTGCCTACTGCATAGAACCTGCCTTGTGCTAAGCCCCACAGTGGTATTCAGTACCTACTCTTAAAAGTTATGCTTAGTTATAGCAAAACATGAGGAAGATGGTAATTCTGAGATGGTAATATATCAAAAGAATTGTCTGAATTCTCATAGGATGAATTTAAGGTGAGGAAAGAAGACGACTGTATTTTAGAAAATGCAGACCAACTTAAATTAAGTCTTGGAATCAGGGCAACAAGACATAATGGTCTTTTGCAAAGAATAGCTGCTCAATAAATGTTTAATGAATCGGCTCCATTTTAATTAAAAACAGATCGAGACTATTAATGTTTCTGCCTTTCAAGTCTTAGTATTCACAGTTCTAAGTACAGTTATATGTTCAATTAATCCATAAGTATATTAACTCAGAATTTTTAAAGCTGGTGAGTTAAATGCATGTGGTCCATTCAAGAATCTGTTCATTTATGTGACAAATAGTTATTAAATGCCAGGAATTTTGTTTCCATCCATTCACAAAACATATAGCCTTTTATTTCCTTGAGCTTCAAGTTTGGCAAAAAGTGGTGGATGTTATGCACAGAAGCACACAAGGGACTGCACATTTCTGTGGCACACAGAATGCCACAGGAGCTGATCACAGAGTCTTATCAAGGCTGAGTAGTCAGACCAGGATTCCAGGTACAGAATTCTTCAGATAATTTATATTTGTGATTTGGAGGAGAGTAACAATTTAACAGAAAAAAAATGCAGGTATGGAACTAGAAGAACATTATAAACCAAACAAAAAACTGCAGATGGAGGTACCCTATCACCAGACAACACTCCAAGGGGAAGCAGCAGCAGACTAGCTTTGACAGGCCTTGGAAAGATGAGGCAGCAATGTTTAGCACAAAAACCCCAATAATGAGGGGTTCTGAAAACAAGTTCCAACTAAAGTGTCAAACAAAAAACACACCTTACGTTGGTCCTAAACAATAAGCATAACTGCACTACGGGGGGGGGGCTGGTTCTGTCTGCATAGGAGCTCACTATGCAGCCACAGAGGTATGGAAGGGCGAAAGAGCTGATGACCAAGAATCTAATTTAACCAATTCAGCAAAACCAAAACTGACATCTTCAGCACAAAGGCCCAGCACTAACCCCATTAATAGTGCAGACTCCTCAAAAGGCTCAGAAGTGAGAACAGCAGCTACCTCCGAAAGCAAAGGAAAGCGAGAGCTCACAAAGTAAGTGTGGACAGTGAGAACTCGGGAGACTCTCATGAGCCCACCATGGAAGACCAAGACCCTCTCCCAAGCCTCTCAGACTAAAACCCCAATGCCTAGGGTGGCAATGTGATTTTAAAAGGTAAGAGCTTGACAATCCACTGCAGCTGAATTGTGTTTCCTACTCCATTCATTGCTGTAGGATAGGACCTAGCAAAAGCATGGTCTGTAGCAGACACTCCAGACAAAGTCTCATCAACCACTGAGAAAACTAAGTCTAAGAAAAAAAGCAATTCTCCCCCTCTCCTCCCACCCTCCCTCCCCACAGCCCCCCATCTACTTCTCTCTACATCCCAAGATCTAAGATTACAAGTGTGTGCCACCATGTCCCTCCTTTTTACATGGGTCCTAAGGGACTCAAACTCAGGTCCTCCTGCTAGTGAGGCAATCACTTGACCCACTGAGCTGTCACCACAGGCCCTCATTTTTAATCCCTTTTAAAAAACAGTAAAATAAGACATGATGGAATGTCCTTTGTCACTTCAGTAAGAATTGGGGGGGGGGATGGAACAGATTTCCATCATAGAGAAGAATAAACAAGAATATTTTAATCAACATCCTATGACACAAATATTTATGAAAAGTCATTCTGAAAGCAGTATAATGGGAGCAGACACAATTTTCAGAGTTTCAAATGGAAATGGGCAAAGCAGGCAGTTTCCTTTCCATGGGTCGAGATTTGCTATACAGTAGTTTTCCTTTTCCTTTTCAAATTGGTTTGTGTGATGTATGTGTGCATAATGCGTATGTATTATGGCATGTGCATATATGTGTGTTCATGTATGTGCATGAAAGTACATGCATGGCACAGTACACCTATGAAAACAAGAAGATTCCTCAGGTGTCAGTCCACACAATGTCTCTTACAGCACCATATGCCACGCCAGCCAGCCCATGCTGTCTCTGCCTCCCAACCCACCTCAGGAGTGCTGGGATTACAGGCATGCATTAACACCATAGAAGCACTGCAATTACGAGTGTGTATTAACACTATAGGAGCACTGGGATTACACGTGTGCATCAATACATCCATTTCCAGATGGGCATCAATACCATACAAGGGCTGGGATTACAGGTGTACAATAACACCAGAGGAGCACTGGGATTACAGGTGTTCATCAATGCATCCAGTTTACAGATGTGCATTAAATGTCCATCTTTACATGGGTGCTGGGGATCCAAACTCGGGACCTCACACTTGCATGGCAAGAAGATTACCTGCTAAGCCATTTCCACAGCCCTCCAACAGTTTAGTTTGTATTTGAGAAAAGAAAGGGGGAGAGAGGGGTAGTAAAGAAGGAAGGGAGAGAGAGAGAGACTGATGACATTCACAACTCACCTTAAATACTTCCATTGGAAGAGGAGACTCTGCAGCAACAATTAGGGCTTTTTCTAGAGCACATTTCCATTCAGAAGTCATCTTCAGAGGATAGAGTTCTGTATCAACAGCAAACCATGGAGAGTTTAAGGACTGTACATCTGTTAGTTGGTTCTTTAAACGCTATCTTCCTCTGCTTCTAGGGTACCACAGTACTCGGAAAGTGCTAATGCTCACACTTCCCTGTAAGCGGCCACCTGCTAAAGAGATTCTCTGAAATTAAAGAGAAACTTGCAATTCTGCTATCAGAAATGGAGAATACTTGACAGGGCTCTTCCTTGGGGGACATTTGTATGTGTTCTGTTGGTCTCTGTAAGCAATTTAATGGCATTAATCACATGAGCATGACTTTTTGTCATCTATAGCCATGATTCTATGTATCACCTAAAATATCCTCCCACTGATGAAGAACTCACTCTTTGGTAAATTTCTAACCTCTGAATAGCTCTGCTCAGGCACCTACAGCAATTATTACACTTTCCCATTAAATCTCTAAGTTCACACACACACATACATACCCATATAAGTCATAAAAATTATTAAAAGGCAAGTTAAAATTTACAAACCAAGTTTTATATTTATACTTGAAACGTTCCTCACATACCACATGTCACCCATATTTTCCCCCAGGCATTGGAGGAGGGGGAAGATTTACACACAGAAGTTATACAGTATGCATACAAAATTAAAAGGGGGGAAAAAACTGTTGAGCACTGTTTTCACATATTGCTGAAACTGTAGAGGAATTTTATGGCCTGATCACAACAGATTTAAGACCTTATCAAAATAGGATTTGTGAAGGCTCTCATTGGAAGTAGATGTGTTTATATCATCCCTATATCAACCCTCACTGCCTCAGACAGACTGTTGGGATATGAATATGAATTTAAGCACACTTAAAAGGCAACATTAAACCTTTGGGCTATATTTTTAATTTCTTGCATGTCTGCTTTTTAGCATGAAGCCATATATTTGGATCCCTACTGCTTCTAAACTCGCCATGAGCTCGAAGCCCCCTGTTTTAGTAGTTTGTTTAGTATTTGAGGGGGTATAATTATAATTGGTAAGAGACCATACCAGACTTAGCCAAGTTACCAACGCACTGTCTGCTGTCTTTACACAGAGGGTGACTTTGTACATAATCTCTTCTATTCTCCCAATGTTCTTTCTAGCATTTTTATATAGAACTTTCTACTTCTAGAAGAATTTTCCCCCTAATCTGACATTTTTATGTAGGAAAAAAATACATGATTTTCCTTAATAGTGGCTTCCTTCCAGTGATGCTCTGCACTCAAACTGTGAACTAACATAAACTGTTAAGTTGCTTTTGTTGGGTGTTTTGTCACAGCAATTAGAAAAGGAACTAAGGCAGGTGGGATCTAACACCATGGCAAGGCACTCCCTTTTCTGCAAAGGTAAAAGTCAGTTTGGACAGCCATCTCTACCACCTGTGAAGATGAAACACCTCCAAGACACAATGCACAGAAAACAATGTCCCCTGTGTGTGGTGTGTTTCAACAGGCAGAGCCACCCTGGCTACACCATCGAATTTATGAACAATAAACAGGTCTATTAAAAGGACATAAAATATGTTCTCAAAATGACCTGCACTGCAGGGAATTTAACAGTGTTCATCAGACTCCATTTACTGGTCTTGGAAAGTCATAAACAATTAAAAAGATAGCCCTCGACCATCTGTCACCAGGAGCCTACAGGAAAGTGAGGAGATCTCCCTTCATGTGCAAGTTTGGAATGTTCTGGTAGAAAGTGTTGCAAAAAGCAACCTCATCACTATAAATAAGCAAACAAATAAATAACCATAAGTAAATGGGGGCCTTGTGGAATGTCCCCCCTTTTCAGGTGTCTAGTCACCACCAGGAATCTGTTCCCTCTTTCTCTACCAGGTTTCATATCAGTGAGGAAAGATTGAGCAATGGTTACTAAGAGACAGGAAATATTGAAAATGTTATGAATTGAATCCTTGTCCTTCTGAATTGCTATGTAGAACCTAGACTCTCCAGTATGACATTTGGAGAAAAGGCTTTAGAAGGTAATGAGGGTTATGAGGGGTGTGGTGGGATGGCAGTTTAATAGAATTAGTGTATTCTAATGAACTCCTTGAACAGTCAGCTGGAAGACAGCCACTTGTAAGCCAGGGAACCCTCACCAGATCCCTAGACAAGCTGGCACTCTTGTTTCAGCTGTCCAGGCTTTAGAACTGTGATAAAATAAATGTTCACTGTTAAGTAAACCAGACTCTGGTGTTTTGTTTGGGCAATATAAGAAAATAATTTCAAACACACCAACTCTTTTGAAAACAGAAACAGTTTAGGCAAGAAGCATTTCAGTTCTATCATAAAATTTCCCGACTCCAGGAACTACCTATATGTTTGAAAGGTTTGATTTCAACATGGGAAAGGTTAAAAAAAAGACTAGACTTATAAAAGGATAGAATTTTGTTTCCTTAGATTCTGTTAATATCAAAATATCTATCATATCTTCTAAACATTGGTAGCCAAGGGAGCAAGTGGGCTTCTCACCTACCACTGACTTGACAACCTTCTTGGAAAGCCAAAGGCTGGCCACAATATTCTGACCATGATTTAAATCACAGGTCAATCAATTGATGCATCTTACACAGGAAGCAAATTGCATAACTGATCCTACACTGAAGGAGGGGGTGCCTTTGTTTGCTCTTTCTCTGCTCTCAAGCACCAGAGTTCAGGCCAGACATAGAAAGCAACACAATGCTAGATCCTCAGAAGTGGATAATATACCATCCAGTACCTTTCCTAATGTTTCCAACAATCATCGTCCCAGCCATTTCCTATTTAACCTATTTCTATTCTCTGTGCTCACCCTGAACAGCCCAGGGAGAAAGTGTCCTTTAAAGGGTAAAAGAAGGAAGTAACACTAAGAGTAGAGATTATTTACAGCATGGCGATGACATTAGAGAAAAGGCATGGCAAAGGGAATCTCACCAGTAGGGTCAGCTTCCACAGCCTTCCTCTCAATACACACATGCAGTATTTCCCCCAATGGCACCTCTGCAGATTCACTCCTTTCCCTCAGTTTTTGATGCTGGTAATTTTATATTGGTTTATTAGTGTCTGAGAAAAAGAGAATCTGTCTAATATTTTCTATACTGTCTGAAATTTTATTCACTCTGCCATTTCAGTTCAGGAAATGGTACTACCATTTAAGTGGCACAAGGTACCCCAGGATTTGAAATTAATTTACACAAATCTAACATATCAGGTTCTGTTCCCATGTGTAAAATCGGAGTAATAACTGCCTCTTTACTCAGGGGTATTGTTTCACTGAATGAGGTAACAGAATCCAGTTTTCATCTTGTAACTACTATATTTGAGTGACATTATGCCTTTTACATTCTCGCTCCCATATACAACCATCATGCCAACACTTTAAATGTTAGAGAAGTAACCTCTTGACAAATCACTTGTTCAGTCTTTAGATGAACTCATGAGCTCTTCTGTGAAATCAGTATTATGTCCAGAAAATTCTAAGACAGATAAGCACGATTTATTCATGTATTGCAGAGATAGAGAATTGTCAAAAGTGAGAAGACTCGAAAGCAAATGTTTCCTAAAGGGAGATTTTCCACTCCACCCATTGAGTTTTAGTCCCAGGATTTCATCATAGGAAAAAGATAGAACAAAGAACATAAGAAGTGACTGGAAACTCTTTGCTTTACTATAAATCCTTGCACTGGCAAGGATAAGTTCCTTCTAGAATTTATAAAGCAATTAGGCACTGGGCTGAGATTTACACAGCCACCTTTCCCCACAAGTAAATTTTTCCTGCCAGGTTATGAATCCCCAGGCAAACTTGAGCTCAATCTTTTCTCACAGCATGGACAAGACCTTTGTTTGTTATCGCCCAAAATGCTTAAAGTATAAAAGGATTTCTTGGCTGCTTCTCAAAATGTCGACAACAACAATACGGCTATTATAAAATACCAGGTTACACGTCTATCCTCCTGTCAGATTTAACACAGATGCAAATACCCAGGGTCCAGAACCAGGAAATGTTCCGCAATCAAAGCCCTTGAGTGACAGTTAAGGTAAATATAACTTCTCACTTTCGTGTGCACGAGACTCACACTGGCAAACAACACAAGGGCAATTTTAATGAAGCCACAGACTAATTAGTTGTTCTAAATATACCTATAAAGCTGACCGCAGAATAAAATTCTATCTGAAAGAAATATATCTTCCTTGGCATGTGTAAGTGCACTAACAATGTGACATTTCTGTCCCTAGGTTCTTCACCAAAACAGTAGCATAGGTCAGCAGAGGCAATGAGATTCACTGGACCTAGGACCCAGGAACTCCAATTGCAACACCCAAGCTACTCCCTACAAGTTCCAGGTGGTCATGGGGAAGCAGCTTAATCTTAACCACAGTCCTGTCATTGGCTGTAGAATGAGAGTCACACCTAACATGCACCACATTTTTTGAATCAAAATAAACAGCGTAACAGATGTAGGATCACCTAGAATATAACAAATATTTAAGGATGGTTATCCTGTAAATATGAGATTTTTGACAGATCTGTCAGAGGGAAGAATGCACTGTTCTATCCAATTAGGCCTATGCAAAGCCATTTGTCAGTCCACTTGAAGCTATCTGGTGACTTGACAGGGGAAAAGGGTAAACATATTAATCCTTTTATTGCTGTTTCCTTGTCAAAAGGAATTACATAATCATAAGCAGATGTTATGGAATTTGTATGGGTAGACATACAGAAAAATAGATAAATGATATAGGTAGATGATAGGTAAGTGGATGGATGATGGACGCATCAGTAGATGACAGACATGAATGGATAGTGTACAGTTGCTGCACAATTGAGTAAATGGAAAGGTAGCATGGTGAATGAAGGGAGTAGGGATGGATCTGGACAAATGAATGGGTATGATGGGTAGAAAGAGCAACTGACTGGCCAATGTGAATGCATAAGTGGATGTAAGGCTGCATAGGTAGTAAGTGGGAGGGTGGGGAACAGGATGAATGTGGATAGATGAATGGGCATAAACAGACTGATGGATAGAAAGAAAACAGGAAGGGAGGAGAGGAATGGATGATATAGAGATGATAACAGAGTGCACACATGGATGTATAGTCACATACATGGGTGGGCAGAAAAATGGGTGAGTGGATGAATAGAAAACTGGTAATCAGAAAGATGTACGAGCAAACAGAAATTGTGGCGTATGCTCCCAAGACAACAGCCCCTAAAAAATGGGGAGACGATGCTTGAATCCCAACCTATCACCCCTTTCATTTCCCGAGCCAGTGACAGCATAGGAAGCCGACCAACTTCCTGAGGCTACAGCATTATGTTCTCCTTTGAGATGGTGTCTAATCAGAACCTTGGATTTTAGTCTTCATACAAAATTCTGGAGTTAAAACACTTAAAATCCACACCCTGGCATGTAGAAGGATGTGTCCGGAGACACACCCACAGGAGTTTGCAGTCTCAAGTACGTCACAGAGGAACAGTGTCAGATCTTACCTGAAGGTGGCTCCATTCTGTACTTATTCTCTTGACACCAACCAACTGGTCGAAGTCTGTAATCCAAGTAAAACAACCACTGGTCATAGGATTCAGTGTCCTCCAATCCCACATAGCGAAGGCGTAATCTTCCTCCGACATTTTCAATCACACTAACTATCCAGTACTGAAAGGGGTTCTGAGAGTCCTGAAGCTCTATTAAGGAATCAACTGTAATGAGGTCTATAGGGCCTTTCCCTCGCAGAGGCTGTTTAAACAGAAGCAAAACTCCGTATTTTAAACTTGATTTTTAAGGTTCTCATGGAAACAGATGACAGCAGAAGATAATATTTTTCTCACACCATCATCCAAGCTATTGCCAAACAGTCTGGCATTACCCCCTCCCCAATCCTCTGTTCAGCCATCACCCCCACACACACCTGCTTCCCTTTCCTCCCTCACACACATCCACAAGCCCACATCATTTCCCAACAACAACAAAAAAATCACATGTAAACAGAAAATAACAGTTTATACTAGTATTTTATCAAACAAGTTATCATTCGCAAATAAAATTCCATTTGTTAGAAGTTAGTACATTTTACGTAGAATTGTACTCAGATGCACCCAGAGCTAAAACACCTGTTAACAAAACATCTATTTTCACATTGACAGATGTATCTAATATAATTCTATGAATTTACACCTTGACTCCTTAAGAGAAGTTCACCTTATAGTGCCGTCTGTTAGCAGCCCAAACACTGCCATTCACGGATTGAGTGAGTAAGCACAGATGTGGTGTACTGATGTGCAGATGTTTAATATATGTTTGTGTTCACTTACATTCAACTTCTCATTGTGTGGGGGGGTGGGGCGTGTAGATAGTGCAACCTCACATGCCTACACATGTATGGAGGCCAGAGGACAACCTCAAGGGCTATTTCTCAGTCATCATCAAACATCTTGAGAAGGACAGTGTCTCTCTCTAGCCTGGAAGTCCAATGAAGTAGGCTGGCTAGCCAGTGGCTCCAGGGACCTGCCTCCCTCTGCTTCCCCAGAGCTGGGATTACAGTATCAGGCATTTTTTGTTTTAACATTTGGATATATTATGTGAAATTACTCTACTACTTAATCTGAGCATTGGTTTGAAAAAACCTCTAAGTACGGCCCCTTCTGAGGAACTTCCTTGGCATATGAAGATACTAACTACTACTTAATCTGGTAATTGCTTTGGGAAAATTTAAGCACTGCCCTTTCTGAGGAACCTTCTTGACATATGAAGAGTATCTGTTTAGCTAACTGTGTAGGCAAATATGTTTAACAATTAACACAGTGAGTCAACTTGTCCCTCTGAAAAGACGAGTAATCATCATTGCAGTCTTTTAACCCAATGGTCAAAATTATCCATTAAGATAAATAAATCAGGTGAAATCATCACAAGACAGTTGTGAGCACTGTATCACATAGTGGTTGTCTTACATCTTAATACCATTGCCAAAGAAGAAAATTAAGGTTAAAAACAATAATAACATCAACAACACAACAACAATAGTAACAACAATGAAAATCCACATCTTATTCCCAGTCATTCACTTAGGGCTCCCCTTTTTGGGGTACCCATGAGACAGAGCTGGTAACAATAATTACATGTGACACACTGCCTTTGTCTTCCTGTTCGTGTACATATAAGAATTATTAAAATTTCATTATAACATTTTCAGACGCATCATCAAGACTCAGATTAAATTCGATGACTAAAAGCTACGTCAGCCACATTCCAATACAGTTAGTCTTGTCTCCTCTTGTTTTATTGAGAAAGATAATCAATAGTCTTAGGTAACACATATGTGTGAGATCATGAAGTTATTATGCACCCAAGATGAACAACTGATGTTTCTACTTATTACTGGGCTCCAGGAGACTCTAGTAAGCACATAAATATGCTTAGTCATCACCTGCCAAAAAGTTATCCTAAAAGATAAGGCATAAGAGTAATGGGAAGACATCGTGATACATAATTGTAAAATGCACTTGAACAGAGAAAACTTCCCATTTATTGATTATAACACAGGAAAACATCAGCCAATACCACCCAAATCCATCACCTTTATAATTCAGTAAGAAACAGGAAGTTAGGCTGTGGGAATAAAAAACGTCTGTGTCCACATGTATCCGCAGAAGGATATATGCAAAGGTGTCACTAGGTTAGAGGTCACAGGACCAGAGTGCTTCAGGGCTATAATAGATGAATAATAGCAATACATACACCTTCCAGAAGGTTGGCAGGCGCTGTCCGAGAACCAGTCAAATCCCGTATGAGGAATTCTGTCCAGTCTGTGTACTTCTCCTTGATAGCTAGCAAAACAAGGGAGAAAAAATAAACACTTCAACACATCAGTGAAGTATCAAACACTCACAAGTCACTGAAGCTCTCTGTATGTCCAGGTTACTTCATTATTTTTCTGAATTTTATGTCTGATGATTGAGTATAGAATAATGAAATTGCAGTCACATGCCTGTTATCAAGTATGGACATCATACCTACCATGCACCTGTTCATCTAGAGAGGGGAAGAATCTGTGGCCCTTAGGATTTACACCTATTTAGATACCCGTCAATAGCAACAATGAAGACACGGCAGCAGTTTGAAAAATTCCAAGAGAAAACAGTTAAGGAGGGCTAGAGCATCAAACAAAGCCAGGCCCTGAACAGGTTTATAGAGTAGGAGGAAAAGAAGAGTTTTCACGGAAGAAGAAACGGTGTGTGGTAATGAGAGTGACGGCATGAAATTGAGAAGGGGCGGGAGAGCTCAGGGTAAGCACACTTCACTGAGAAATGGTGTTCAGTGAACAGCAGGAAACAAGTCAGCAGACATTTCAGAAACCGGAGGTCTCTGTGTGAGAGCAATCTTGCAAGACTCCAAATGTCTGAATGCAATAATGATGATAAAAGAGGAAAAATGGGTGCTTCTGTGTCTAGGTACAATAGCACAGGCTGGAAAACAAGGCAGATGGCATTGTAAAAAACAGATGGAGTTCATCTGAGACGCTATGTGAAAAGGTAGTAAGGACTGAGGGCGTGGTTCATTCTGTACAGGACTCGTCATGAAAGCAGGAGGACTTGAGTTCCACCTCCAGGAGCATTAAAAAAAGGAAAGAGATGAAAGAGAAAAGAAGGAAAGAATAGGCAAACCCAGGTACGGTGGCATGGGCTTGGCATCTTAGCACCTAGAAGGTGGGTTGCTGCTCTTGCAGAGGGGCTGAGATTGGTTCCCAGCACCCATACTGGGCAGTTAACAACTGAAGTCCAGCTCCAGGGCAACCTCTTCTACCCTGCTGGCATTTGCACTCATAGGTGTTCACACACACACACACACACACACACACACACACACACTTACTTTAAAAACAAAATAAATATTATTTAAAGATTCAGCAGTCTTAACAAAACTGGCATCAGAATGGGGTTCAGCAGCACCCCCATCTTTAATCTTTATCCATCATACACATGTACCTCATGCAACACTTGCCCAAACTCATGAAGGATCGAGTTCAAGAAAAAAAAAAAAAACACCCACAATGCTCCCACCCCATCCAAGGATGGAAAGTAGAGTCTTATGTGCCATAGCAACATTCCAGGCCTTGCTCTTACCTCTTTTTTACACCTACCCCCCCCATTTAGAATACCATATTTATTTTAAACATGGACACTCATGTGGAAAAACATATAATATTATGTGGAGGAAAACTATGTCCATGTGCTCTGTTGCCATCAGTAGAAAATATAACTATCTTTTTTCAATGCTATAGTAGTTTTTAAAAATAATTTTGTTTGGCACCCACAGCTAAACACTGAGCCATACTCTTGGAATCCAATGCGGAGAGGGAGGAGGGATGAGCAAAGGAGCCAGGACTGTGCTGGAGAAACCCCCAGAAACAGCTGACCTGACCTAGTGACAGCACAGAGACCCTAGTCGTAAAGCTGGTAACCATCATTGGAAAAAACCAAGCCCACTAAATGTGGGTGTCAGCTAGGAGGCCAGGGCAGTCTATGGGACCTCTAACAATGGAGCCAGTCTTTATCGCTAGAGCACAAATGGACTTTGGGAGCCCATTCCCTATGGAGGAGTACTATTGCAGCCCAAATACAAGAAAAAGGACCTAGGCCTCCCCCAAATGATGTGCCAGACTTTGATGGTCCCCTATGGAGGGCCATACTATCCTTGGGCAGTGGGTGGGAGGTGGGTTGAGGGGGTTGGTGGGGAGCATGGGAGGACGGGAGAGTGAGGGAATGGGGTATTGATATGTAAATAAGACTGCTTCTAAAATAAAAAATAATAATAATTTTATTCTTTTATTTCTTTCATAGTGATGAGGGCTTGAACCAGAGACTCAAAACTGCTGGACAGATGCCCGGCCACTAAGCTACAACCCCAATCAATGATGCCTTTCATCAAATTAGCCCTCCTGCACAGCAGAGCTGACTAATACCAGAAGTATAGACACACAAAAAAGTAATTGACACTTGCCTTGTGCTTTGCATGCGAAGACCTCCTGCTTATACTGTTTTTCCCCTCTCCACGAGGCTGTTCTTAACTACCTCTTGTTCTTACAGAATAAAACTAGAAAACAATCATCCATCCACAAGGCTCCAAGAATCCAGACGTAGTATATCAAAGGATCTTTCCACTACAATCTGCAACTCCCCAATTTTTTGTAAGTAGATAAAGCAGTCCCAGGCAGAACGAACAGCATGAAAGTGTCTGCCTATTCCAAAACATCAAGATTAGGACAAAATATACAACTGTATCTGGAAATACAAATTTTAAAGCATATCAAAACGCCAATAAAGCAATAAGGGGCCCTGAGCTGTTGTTTTGCCCTGAGCTTAGTGGCTGCCCCTGAATCTACTGATATTTTAACTACTTTCTGTGGCCCATGGCCCCACCGTCAGTGCCCTGCTGCTCAGGCTGCAGCCTGGCCAAATTTCTGGTTCCACTAGCACCATCCTGGCACTAAGTCTATCATTCTATTTACCAATAAAGACTTAGTAGTCAGATGTAGGGGTGCAAACCTGCTAGCTCAGAGAGGCTGAGAAGCAGCCAGCTGACCTTCTTTTTGGCCAGAGACACAGCAAGAGAGTGTCTCCCCAGCCTTCCCAAAGCAAAAAAGACTGTGAAACCCCAAGTCCCTCCCTACTCCTTCCTGTGTGTCTCTCTATCCATCTTCCTGGCTCCTCCATATTCTTTATAGCTAATTCCTGTCAGCTAGCTGCTGGCTCTTCCCCCGATCCAGGATTGATTTTATTAAACAGTCTTGGGGTTCACAATACGATCAAATATCCGGCAACACTGTGCTTCACAGAATTTTTGTCTATGTCCAATGTTTCAATATATAGAAAGTCCTGGAAATCCATAAGAGATTCACAGTCCAGATCTCTATATTTTATGTTTTTATGTTATTTGTGTGTGTGACTGTGTGCTTGTCTATACGTATATATGTATGTGACTATCTATGTGTGTGTCTCTGTGTGACTCTGTGTGTGTGAGACTGTATGTGTGTCTGTATGTATATGTGCATGTGACTATGTGTGTGTGTCTCTGGTGTGTCTCTGTGTGTGACTGTGTGTGTCTCTGTGTGTGTGAGATTGTCTGTGTGTCTGTATGTGACTGTGTGTGTGTATGTCTGTGAGTATGTACCTATGTATATGCCTATGTGTGAGTCTGTGAGTATGCACCTGTGTATGTCTATGTGAGACTGTGTGTGTGACTGTGTCACTGTGTGTATGTCTGTGTGTGTGTGTGCCTCTGTGGTGTGACTCTGTGTGTGACTGTGTCACTATGTATATGTCTGTGTGTAACTATGTGTGTCTCTGTGAGCATTCACCTATGTATGTCTGTGTGTGACTGTCTGACTGTGTGTGTGTGTGTGTGTGTGTGTGTGTCTGTGTGTGATTGTGTCACTGTGTGTATGTCTGTGTGTGACTGTGTGTGTCAATGTAAGCATGTACCTATGTATGTCTGTGTGTGTCTCTGTGTGTGATTGTGTCACTGTGTGTATGTCTTGCGTGACTGTGTGTGTCAATGTGAGCATGTACCTATGTATGTCTGTGTGTGTGTGTGTGTGTGTATGCCTCTGTGTGTGTCTCTGTGTGTGATTGTGTCACTGTGTGTATGTCTGTGCGTGACTGTGTGTGTCAATGTGAGCATGTACCTATGTGTGTCTGTGTGTGAATCTCTGTGAGTATACATCTGTGGTGAGCCCAGAGGTCAACCTTGGTCTGACCTTAGGTATCATCTGCCTTATTTCTGAGAAACAGTGTCTCTCACTGGTGGAGAACGCGCCAGCTGTCTTCACCTCTGCAGCATTGATTGGGATTGCAAGCACCTGCCAGCACATCTGGTTCTGGGGATCAAACTCCAGTCTTCATGTTTGTGCCTCAAGAATTTATGGACGGAGATGCCACCCTCCCTCAGTGCAGATCTTCTAAAAATCTTTCTCAGAACTTTTTTCAAAGTTCTATTCAGTTACAGTAAGTAAACAGAAAACTTTTTAAAACTCAAAGTCATAGTCCACAGATGTGTCCCTCATTGGGACCGTGAGATCCAGAGAACAGAAATGCAGACTTTTTGTGAAGACATTTAGGGATGGCCCCAAATCCCACAGCAGCTTTCGCAGGATTAGAAAGCAATAAAAGGAGTAACAGGCAGGAGGTTCTGTCCGTTTTCAGACTCCAGAAGAGCACCCCTACTGCTGGATTTCAAGTCCAATCAAGTGAATGTCAACGCGGAGCTCAATGACATGCTGCCACTTAAGGGGACCATCTTCTACAGAGCCTGACGGAGACGTACAGCTGTCCCTTCAAGCAGATGGGAAGGAAGATGCAACAAGAAGCCTCTGCTGAGCAAGGGGGAAGAGTGTGTCACCTGATTCACAATGGCAGTGCGAACTTCCCATATACCCAGTGAACTAGAGAACACCAACCACACCATGCCTTTCCACCCCCCTGGGGAGTAGATGGAAGTTGCAATGGGGATAAAAGGGCCCTTTTCATTTAAATGGCCTCTAAGCAACACAGAAATGGTTTTGGACACTGGCTTGTTTCGTAGAGGTTAAAAACACAGGCTATTTGGTTGATCTCCATAAACAATTTTTTTTTCAACTCACTAAACACCAAGCCTTCTCTGTGGACTGTAATTTTAGTTTGTAATGGATTGCCCTTTAGTCTCTGGTGGTTTCTTCCTTATAGGATTATTTTGTAACAGGTGATATTTTCAAACACCTTCATTGGGGTAATTTGGGAATTTTCCCCTCTCCTATTCCCTGGGTCCTCTTTCATTCTGAGGACTGTAGTGA